GCCTATTAAATGTAAAAAATAATGGCTTTCAATTATACTGTAATGGCTATAATTAATAGCTAAAATGGAGGGGAAAAGCATTTAATAGAGACATCAGTAGCAGTATTGGTATCAATGATACTGATGCCATTAAACACATTTAAAAGATACCATCTTTATGTTGTTTTTACATTAATTTGGAGGTTCCATGTGAAATTATAAATAATATATATGTGAAATTATATGTATATGTCATTTGTTAAATTGTTTGTCAGATGACACTAATGTTAACCTTTTATAGATGTTGATGTTGGGAAGTTTCATTTGGTAGTTAATTTACTGCTGAATATGCATTTTAATTTAACATCTAATTTTATAGGCCCCCCAGAAAGAGATTTGCATGGCCCCCCACCCCCTTGGCCCCCTTCAAATTTTCAGTTCGATAATCCGGCCATCAAATGAAGATAATTGAATAGCCCTGCTCTATAGGCCTATACTTTCATACTCTTAAGTTTAGCTTTTTTATTAATTTTTTTTATTGTAAAGTTTTTCTACTGTTTGTTGAATACTGGTTTTTGTTTAAAAATAGACAGAATGGTGTAGATTTGTTGATTATTATATTGGTTATTTTAAAGGTTATCGGCTACAACATAAACAATTATTGGATAGCAATATCAGCCATATTTCTTAGGGGTGCACAATATATCGACCTGCTATCTCCTTATTTTATAATTATAATTTTTTTCTCAATGTGTTTTAATGTGTATCATTTTAACAAAATGTTTTGTATTTATAATATCATTCATTTATTGTTGGTTATTTTCCATAACATAAAAACAATTAATTTATGTTAGCATAATTTCATTATCTGTGCATACCTGTATTCTTGGCAAATAAACACATATGGAGTATACAGTGTAAATTATTTTAATGTAATTTAAAGGCACAATATGTAATTTTCGTCACTAGAGGGCGTGTATTCAAAATAAACAAAGAGACAAAGGTGTAGTTTGATGACGCCGTGACTGAGTGTGGAATCACGGGAGTTGTCGTCTTCATCCGCACAGCCGATGCAATCCGACGGGACTCGGGCAGAAATCATGTTCATGGATGAGCTAATGATTTATTAACGTAGTAGAATGAAGCAGGGTGAGGCTGAAAGCCATTGAAGCGAAACGAGGCCGCTGAATGAGCGTGACACACGGCTCGAAAGCAGCTGAGCTTTTATTA